CTTCCCTGTTACGTGTGTGTGTGTGTGTGTGTGTGTGTGTGTGTGTGTGTAAGGGCTTGTTCACACCAATTGCGGTGCGTTCCAGAGTGGCAGCTGCTGGAACGCACAGCAATTGCTCACTAAACTTCCCCCTTCGTTCTGGGTTGGGAGGGGTCGTGGCGGTGCATTGAAGTCAATTGGTGTGAATGGGCCCTTAAGGGCTAGTTCACACCATCCTCTGCGTTCCGGCCCAATTGCGGCCAGAACAAACTGGATCGCATTGCGGCCAGCTCAATGTGTTGTGGGGCGTGGCAGTGAAGGGAATGGCACCGCAGCCACACCCTCCGGCCACAATGTGGTTGGCTGCATCGGGACGCAAGGCACATCAATGCCTGAGGTCCGGTCAGTAAAAAGTCTGCAAGCACTAATTTTTTCTGACCGGATCAGACCGGAATGCAGGCATTGATGTGCCATGCGTTCCCGTGCGGCCGATCGCATTGTGGCCAGAGGGCATGGCTGAGGTGCCATTCACTTCACTGCACCGCCATGCCCCATCCCGCCCCACAACAAATTCAGCCGGCCGCAATGCGATCCAGTGTGTTCCGGCCACAACGCGCTGATGATGTGAACTAGCCCTAACTGTAGGCACTATGCTGTCATGCAAGCAGTCTGACACACATTTTTCTTTATTACCAGTAAATGTTTGATTTATATACCTTTTCTATATACCTGGGGTCATGTAAAAATGTCCTTGGACGAAAAGGGGTCACGAGTGGAAAAAGTTTAAGGAGGCCTGAACTAGACCAGAATTTAGTAGCAAACATATTAATTGTCCTACAGCTCACACTACCATGGACTGCATCGCAACAGATGCTTTTGTTGTGTACTGAAGTGTGTTGTGGAGCACTGTTAGGCAGCTAATTCAAACTGAATTAGAATTTTGCAACGGCCTGGTGTGAATGGGCCCTATAAGAGTATAGTCTGTTTTCATGTTAAGCCAGTCTTGGCATAATCCAAGGACTTTGATACCCAGTGATCCTGCAATGGTGACATTTGGTTCCTAACATATCTGTTTTGGCATTAGAAACATGGTATTTAACAGAACCCTGGCCTTCATGTATTAGACTTGTGCCTGAATTTAACATTAGGTTGTCTGTGCAAAGTGCTGACACCAATCTATATACAGATTGCTGCCCTAGGGTAATTTCCAAGGGCTACAATGTTAATTATTTCCTGAAGGACCAAGGCCAACTCATTTCCCATCTAGTACAGGGGTTGTATTGTGGGTATCGCACTCCAATTTTACTTGTAGCCAGTAGGAATTTATTGACCACTATGCCATTTAGCCACTTGCTTGACTATGGTTTGGATGTAGCAGTCCTATTGGCATGCAGATAAGCCTAAGGAATACTTTTATGACACATGGTATGTCATAAGGTGAATTGTCATTTAGATTTTCCCTGCAGTGGTCCAGCAAACATGATGAATGGGGTCAAAGCTGATATAGCCATACCCTGCCTCCAAATGACTGCAGCAAAGAATACTGTTTACTGCTTCCTAGGTTAGCTGATGCTCAGTGGAAGGAGTTGGTGAAGCAAATTAATTCATCAGAGGGAGCTGCATAACCAAACAAATGTGTTACCTGTCTGGCTGTGCATTGTGGCAGATTTGTGTAAATCGCAGGATTGGTTACATAGCTCGGCACACTACCTGCATGGAGTTTGCATGCTCTTCTTGTTCGTGTTGGTTTCCTGTGAGTACACCAGTTTCCTCCCACCCTCCAAAGACACGCTTGTGGGTTAATTGGCTCTTGCCCAAATTGGCCCTAGTATGTATGTGTGTGTCCTCAAGGAGGTTACAGTCTAAAGTCTCTAATTCGCATACATACACAGAGACAGATGTTAATGTAGAATATGTAGGGGCACTATGTAATTTGTTGTGCAATATAAATACCTAGCATTAGAATACAGAGTCACAAATTCTGTGGCAGGTAATCCATAAACAAACATAGTTGTACTTCAACTGTGTTTTTAGCAGTTTGTCCATAGCTTTACTTTATGTCTAATAGACATTGAAAACCACACACTGACCGCCCTCCCATCCCTGCAAAGCTTGACAGCAAGCTGACTCTTGTGGATGACTGGTTTGCCTTGTGTGGACAGGCAAATGCAGCATGCTTTTAGATACATTTAGCTGGCTTTTAGGATGCTTTAGAGCAGATTTTGCTTTCCCACTGACATGTAGAGGAAGAAAAGCAGTTCAGACACAAACAAATGCTCATGTATAAAGTCCTTATGTGGCATGCTCGTACAAAGGGAGCTGCAAACCCAGATTACTATCTCTTTTCGCTAACTCATAGCACTTTAGGAATCCTTTGTCTGCTATTGCGATAAAGAGCTTGTGTGTGGATGTGCTGTTTAAATCTAATAGAGAAAATAGTGACATTATGCGTGAACATGTAAATCCTTCCTTGCTGAGAATGTATTGACTATGCTCAATTTTCTGATCTCTTTGCCGTAGTTACTATTTCATCAAACATGTCCCACCCCTGACTGAAGAACAACTTAACAGGAAGCCAGCGCTGCCTCTTAAAACCAGGAGTACCCCTGAGTTCTCCCTGGTCCTAGACTTGGTAGGTGACCTGCTTCTATACCCTGCCTATCAGCTCCTGCTTTGGTTTTTGGGATAACTTAATTTCTTTTTGTTGCAGGATGAAACATTGGTGCATTGCAGCTTAAATGAACTGGAAGATGCTGCACTCACGTTCCCTGTACTGTTCCAAGATGTCATTTACCAGGTATGAAGTGTGGTGTGCCTGGGATAATTCTCTTTTATTGGGTATTTCATTTAAAAATGGCTGATCCTAATTTGTTTAAAGCGCTTCCTAAGAGCTGAAGCTTTCTAGCCTGTATCGAATACCCACTAATATTGCTATTTCTAGTTTTAGCACTGCTATTTCTTTTTCTAGGTGTATGTGCGATTACGGCCTTTCTTTCGCGAGTTCTTAGAGCGTATGTCTCAGATCTACGAGGTATGTTAAAAGCCGTGGTGAGGAGTCTTAATTAGGGGAAAATAAGTGTAAATCCATTATGAAATGTATCCTCCTAACAAAAACCTTACGAAAAGGGGGAGAATCAACAAAAATCATCTGTTTTGTTTTTCTTTCTTATCTACTGTTGTTATCCTGGGTTGTTATTATCCTCCTGCTGTGTCCAGAGATCCAACTAGTTAAGGCCGGCCTTGCATGGTTAGGCTTTTGGCTGATTTTACTGGAATTGGCCTAAATTCTTATAGGGAGTGGCCCTGCCGGTTTGACCAAAGTCGGTTCCTGAATTGACTTTTTTCAAAGGAGCAATGCCCAAAATGTTCAGGTGAACGGTGCTGATGCTAAAGGTGAGGTCAGCAATGGCAGCCCATATGTCACTATAGTCATGTCAGTACAGGTCAAGTCTGCTCAGACTTGATCATGCATTTTCATTTGAACCTACCTGGTATCAGGATCATCAGTATCCATAAATTACATGGTCAACATGTAGCTTCCACTTGGGGACCGGTTAGAGGAGATGAAATAAAATTGGGGTAAACCTATATGTAATTCATGACCGTAAAAGTAGTTTTATTATTCCGGACGTTGGTCACTGTAGTATTTCCTAATGTGGGTTCTCTATCACTCGAAAGGGAAGTTGTTTGTGGTGTCCTTTAAATGATATTAGCACTATTTCTTAATTTCACTAATGTGTAGATGTGCAGATTCATTCCGCCTTACATCTCGACAGGAGTAAAAAAAAAAAAAAAAAATAGTGTCACACCAATTATGTAACAGGTTTTAAAAACTGGACTGTTCCTTTATATTGTTTTGCAGATAATCCTTTTTACAGCGTCAAAGAAAGTCTATGCAGACAAATTACTGAACATATTGGATCCCAAGAAACGGCTAGTGAGGTATTAGTGGTTCTTACATGCAGCTCTGAAGCAAAAGAAGTCTTTTGTTGCTCCATATTCCCTTTCTCACTTTACTCCTCCTCTTCCTTCAGACACAGACTGTTTCGGGAGCACTGCGTATGTGTGCAAGGAAATTACATTAAAGATCTAAATATCCTGGGGAGGGATCTTTCTAAAACAATCATAATTGATAACTCACCACAAGCCTTTGCGTACCAGGTGAGACATACAAATATACTTTTTAAATGTTTACACCTTTTTTTAAACTGAACTATATATTTCTGCATTGCTTGTATAACATTTGTTTTTTGTTTCAATATGTTTGGGGGATTTTCTAATTACAAAGTGATTACCAAGTGCATAAACGCTCTCAGTTGTGGTAAGCAGCAATATTGAGTTAAGTATTCACGTTGAAGTAGGGATGTGTTGTATTTCCTCAGGCAACAATTGAGAGGTAAAACATTTTCAGAGGAAAAGGAGGGGGTCCAACATTAAACAGATGGAGGTGGGAAGGTGTCGAAGGCATGAGGTGGTGGGGAGAGAAGGGAAAGAAGTGGGGAAGGGGAAGTGGATGGATCCCAGGTTACCAATAAAGACAGTCTGTATTAAAGTCTAGAAGGAGAAATTAGTGGTCCAGGGGTTCCAAGTCGCAAATTATTTGTTCATTGAATCTAAGACTGGCTTCAGTTTTATCATGTAGCATTACTCAAATGATTCTAGATTTTGTCTCAGCAATATGGAGAGTTGAACCCTTCCAGGCTTATGCTGTTGTAAAAGCATGTTACATTAGATTGAGTTGTGATTTGTGTAGATCTGGAGGTTTGAGATTGAGTAGGGCATATTTAGCACATAGAGGTACAAGGTGGTTGAGTAGCTTCCCCAGCTTTTAAAGATCAAGGCTCAACATTATTTAACGGTTAGACAGGTCCTCCAAATGTGATTTTAAAAGTACCCACTTGTCCTCAGCTTTGAAAGCACAAGGGGACATAAACTGGAACGATTCTGGAAATTCTAGGTGGCACTAGGTACGAGTGTCTGAGGGCTTTAATTTTGGTCTCTACAGCCACGGCATTTTTAGAGCATGATTTTGTTGACTCTCACAGTCCAGTCCTCTTCATCCAGGTCAAATCCCACATTTCATTGTGCACAGAGGAGGTTGTTGCAGCCAGACTAGAAAGCATGGCCTATAGTAGGGAGAATGGGGGTCTTGCAGGCACAGCTGTCGGGGTAGATGTGCCATGTGGGAGATTAGTTTGGAGGTACCGTAATACTGAGATGGGGGTTCCAGCTCAGTCTAATACTTGAACAGTTCCATACCATCCTAGTTGATCAAGTGTTATATCCTTGTGTGGCTTTCTTTGTCAGCCTTTTCCAGAAGGTCATAGTGGAGTGGAGGCCTGGGGGTAAAGCCGGAGTTGAGTAAAGGCAATAAGTGGTTTGAATGGTGTGGTTCAAGATTGGATTAATGAGGCTAGATCTGTCACTTGGAAGGAGCTAAAGAAGATGGTGAATTAGGAGGCGAGCACAGCCAATAGCTTCAGGGTCCACCCATACAACAGCATTGTATTTGGGATGTTGGGCTAACTGGGCTAACTGGGCTGCAGGATAATAGATTGGTAGAACAGGGGAGATGCACTGTGCTTGCATGGGGTTTTGAACAAGGATGAAATCCGCTTCTGTGATGCTGGGGGTGAGCGTCCAATGTTTGGCTCATCCTGGCGACAAGATGGAGCTATGCAGAATATTGGGAGTTCTTCAGGCAAGGATTTATTGTGCCATAAAATAATATATATTTTTTTGTATGTAATAATTTTTTACTGAATTAAATGAATAATAAAATAATCCCAACTGTGCTTCTTACTTCATTGCTAGTTGCTACGCTCCTCTGACTTATTCGGCTGTGTGTTTAATGATTAGACAATAGTTAGCAAAATATCAAATCCTTTAACGTTGGCTATTCACATCATATAAAATGCTATACAGAAATGCTAGAGATCAGAAACAAGTGCTGGCTATGGGTTTTAAATATGAAATGTTCATAATTACACGGCTATAAAGACATATAATTTGTTATTTTTTACTGACTGTAATGGAGAAGACACCAGCTGAAACACTGGCTGCCCTTTATTTCCCAGGGATATGTTCAGGACTGATTTAAACTACCTATTCTCTAAAATTCAGTCATATTTACATGAATATTTAACATTTGTGTTGTAATAAGTCGCTGAGAGTGCTGCAAAATATTATATTGGTAAACAAGTTCATTTTAGGATTCCCTTGAGGCTCTGGTTACAGGTTCCCTGCCAGAAGACTATATAAGGAATATTGTTTAAAAAAAGGAAAAGCCAGCCACCCAGAAGTTCTGCCCAAAAAGTGATCCTCTTCAGCAGAGACATTAACATTCGGGGAGGTTAACAAAAATTGGCGCACAGAGAAAAATGCGCCAATTTCTATATGCACACTTACTGCTTTATGCTGCACATAAATGTGTCCAACGGCAGTTTGTCAACTTGTTACATGATAGGGATTCGCTTTGCTGTCCATCCTTACACATTCACCTCCCTTCTGCGGTGTTGCTTCTCGCTGTCCATCTTTCACTACAGCATTTACGCCACTGTGGTGTACATTTTAGAACAATTATTCTTAGAGCGTTGGCGCAGGTGCTTGGTTATTTTGGCGCATGCTTTCAGACCAAAATGCGCCGTTATATATTTCTTTCCACGGTCTGGTGCAACAACACTTAGGGCCTGTTCACAGGGCGTCCGTTTTGTGTGCTGACCGGCTCCGTACGCTGCTGCACTCAAAATGCATCCCAATGTATCCCTATGTGTTTTATGGGCTACAGTTCTCATGTGCGCAGTCCGTTCTGCATGTCACATTTTGTCATGTCCGGGAACGGATACGCAAACACGTAAAAAATGCACTGCGCTGCAGCTAACATACTAACAGCCCCACTCCACTTTTTTTTTTGCTGGAACGCATCAATCAGAATATCCTTTTTTTTCATTGAATGTTTCTGGTGCTTTTGGTGGATATTTTGCTCTCGTATTCCTGCGGTTTAGTAGATTGTGAAAAAGTAAAATAACATATTGTGTCAGTGTCCATTCTTAGAACAATGGCAGCAAAATAATCATTCTTTTTTTGCCTTACAGCTTTCTAATGGAATTCCAATTGAGAGCTGGTTTATGGATAAAAATGACAAGGAGCTGCTGAAGCTTGTTCCTTTCCTGGAGAAGCTTGTAGAACTGGTGAGTCTTGTCTCGTTTATACTAGGGAAAGTGACATTTGTTTGGGAGCATACTGCAAGCCTACCTTCCCAAGGTGGCAACTCTACTGGGGTGTCAGTCTACATTGCTCCACATATGAGAGACCCAACTTCTCCCATTGTTTTACCATTTTTGATGAGGAGCATGGTGTGTCAGCTATAGATGGGTTTGCTAAGGTTTCCAATTCATTTAAACATTTGCAAAGCTGGAAGTGGTGCCAGCACCTAAATGGAATGGTTTAGATTAGAGGTGCACTGAAATAGAAATGTAAGAAACAAAACCAAAATTATAAAATTTGTCAGGCCGAAACCGATACCGAAAATGTTTTGTTTTAAATGTATTCAAATATTTTATTTTTATTTATTTTTTATAAACTTTAAAAAATGTTATATTTACTTTTTATTAAATTTTTTATTTTACTTTTAGGGGCTCGGGGAAATATTAGGGGTCTAAACAGACCCCTGATATTTCCCTTTTAAAATAGAAAAAGAGATTGAGAACACAGAGTCCTCAATCTCTTTTTCTCTATCCCCTGTTATCATTGAATCATTGAACAGGAATCCTCTGAGTGTTCCTGTTCATTGATAACATGAGGACATTGTATGTTTACTATAACCACAATTATGAATGAACAGGAGTGGAGCGATCGCTGAGTGTATGTAGCCTGCTCTCCTCTCTGACACACACTGTCACAGGAGGCTGAGTGAGAGGTGCGAGAGGAGAGCCCAGCCTCCTGTGACAGCGCGGGCTGTCTCCGCCCACACACCGCTCTGCCGCACTGTGATAGGCGGCCGAGCGGTGTGGGAGGAGAGGCCCCGGCCTCTCGCAGCGCTCGCCCGGCTGTCACTTTCTCTCCTTCACATTGGGACACAGAGCAGCGCCCATCAGGGAGGAAAGAAAGCATGGATGCGCATTTAGCCAAAAGTGTCATTTTCGGCCGATATATATCGGTGCATCCCTAGTTTAGATGCTTCCTGTCCAAAGCCTGCTGGGTTGTTTTGGTTTTTCCCTCATCTGTTGCTCAAATTTACTCTTGACTTTGACCAGCAGAGGTCTCTAGTAATTGAAGCTAGGCCTTCTGATCTGCCCAAATGCAGAGTATAAAAGTGTTTGACTACCCTGAGCTCCCAATGTTTCAGGGCTCTTGAGTAGATATCTAGATGTTTGCACGAATAAACACCTTCAAATTATTTAAAGTGAAGTAGTGTGGCGGTCATGCATTGTCTTTTTTTTTTTCTCCTTCTCACATGTTTTTATGTTTTAATTTTTCTCTTTACAGAATGAGGATGTGCGGCCCCACATCAGAGACAGATTTCGCTTGCATGACTGTTTGCCCCCAGATTAGAAAGGACAGCGGGCACCTGCAGGAGCCCCAGACTACAGGGGACATCAGTTAAATGCCTGCAGGGAGTGGAGCTGCAAAGGCAAAGGACTGAAGCATACATGTACACAACCATTTGCCATAACTGCTGAAGGCATTTCTTTACTTTGCTGTCTGAAAATATATATATGAAAAAAAGGAACGGTTTCACCGTGACGTGTTGTGACTGGTTTGGTGGCACATCACTGGGCAGCTTGGCCTCCTCCCAGGAATTGTAAAGTCTCCAAGAGAATCTCCACTGTCTGAGCTGCGGGTTGCATCTATCCGTGTCATGGTGCGCACCCAGTGTGAGCTATTCTCGAGTATCAGATTCGACCTCCTACACATTGATCCTTATTAGTGTAGAGTATACATTATCCATTCCTTGTATTTCAGTCGCTTCAATCTGTTCTAGTAGCCAAATTTTACTTTTTATTTTGTATGATATATTTGGCTGTTCCTCTTCTCTGCTTGCATAATGTGTTTTTTATTTTTATTTTATTTTTCTTCTAGGATAAAATTCAATTCTTATGGTTCAGCCCATGTAAGCTCCATCTAGAAATACACATATATCTTTTATATCTTATCTGTAATAATCTATTCTAGTAATTTTTTTTTTAAGACCTAAAGCTTTTAAAAAGCAAAGTAACGAGTGTGAGAATATTGGAGGCATGTACAGAAGAGGTGGCTGCAGAAAACAGAAAGGTTTCTACAGCCTGTGAACGGGCCAGGATGCAGTTCTCACATTCTTTCCCTCTGCCTGTGATTACATGTCGAACCACACTACCCCATACACACACAAAATCGTATATACAGAATATATTGCACACATACATACACGAGCACACACACACACACACGTAATATATACATACACACATATAGCCTCCCTCTTGACCTATCCATTCACAGCACTGGTACCAATGCAGCTAGATGGAAGGGTGGCTATTTTTGTATGAGATGCTTCTCTGTCCCTGCAGGGAGGTAGGACCGGAGGGCTGAGCATAGGGGCACCATTTTTATTTTATCTTTTTTAAATGGGTGTACTTGTAAATGTTTTAGCCGTGCACTCACTCCAACAGGGGATTGTACTCATGAATTCTCTTCACTGTGCCTGGCTCTGCCGGAGTGCTCTTATGTCTAGCAGCTCCTGTGTGCAGTATGCACAAGTATCTGCTATGCAGACAGATGGTCTCTATAGAGAACTCAAGTGTCATTGCACACACAAACTTTCACAATCGACAGATGCTTTTTGTGATATATTAGGTCAGTCTATTGGTCTCCAGAGTGTCAGTGTAATTTTGACACTTGCATTCCCAGTAGAGGACACAACTCCCCAAGGGTGCACACAGCTAAGACTACTCATGAGTACAAGTCCTAAAGGCCTCAGACACATAAGCATCCAAGTTTATCATAGAAGACACAGTTTGGCCCCCTGTACATCCGTGTGCATGTCTATGGTGAGCGTACATTGCCATACACTATGGTTTGACAAACACACAGGCTTGGTGCAGTTTTGTCTCACCAAAGTGTGATGTGTCAGTGCCCGGCACTGTGTGTATGTACCAAGGAGGTGTGTAATGTATAATGTCCATCCTTCACATGCTCAATACACGATACACAGCTGGATCACTTATGATGCACTTGAATGCCTGTGTGTATGAGGCCTTAAAGCTCAGATGAACGTGAGATTTTTTTTCAGCCGTATAATACCTTGAGATTAACCCTTGGTGGACAGTTTCCAACATTCTGATGAGGTTATCAACAAGGGGTCAGCCTCGTGTTTCCAAGTGACAAGTCTCATGTATATCTGAGCTCTAAGACAGAAGAGATGGCACTTTCTTTTATTTTTTTCTTTTATTTTTTAAAGAGGTTTGTATTTTGTAAGCTTGTTCAGAGAGTACAGTATTGGAAATTAAAACAAACAAAAAGCTCTACAGAGGAGGCTGTTCATCCTTTTGTTCCTATGTATATTACCTGTTTAACTGTATGCCATTTATTGTATAAATTTACACATGGTTTTCATTTTCAAGTTACTCCTTAAAGTAAGGAGTTTTTTTAGTAAGTTTTTAGGAAAACATTTAATTTTTGTATTTTTGATTTTAAAGGAAAAAAAAAGCATGAGTTATGTCATATTTTCAGTGTATTAATGAAGATTTTAACCTTTCCTCCGGGTGGCTCTTTTATTCCGAACATTTCTGTGTGTGTTTTCTTGGTGCAGTGTCTTTTTCAATTGATTTGCACAACCAGCTGAGCGAATGGACATTTTCAGCACAAGGGAATTAAATGAGTAAATACTGGCTGGTTTTTGTTTCTCCCACTTAATCTTATTACAGACTTTTGTATGTAAACGCAAGGTATTTTGCATACAGGTTGCATACCAGTTTGGCCAACGTCAAACTGTCTGGTTTCTGGAAATAAAGATCATAAAATTGTAACTTTTTTTTATTTTTCATATAACACACTTTCCACCCTGCCATGTTAAGGTTCAGAAGAATGAATGGCATAAAAACAAATATCTTGCAAGACATTACTGGAAATATGGATTTGATCTACTCCTAACTTTACAGGACATCTGACACTGTTCACCCATTAAGAATTTGATCTGATTGGCCAGTACTGGCATTGCAGCGACATGGAATATGTCTGGTTATGTGTTGGGGGATGTACCTGCAAAGCTACTTTACGAAGACCATCTTAAGCCATAAGAAAGGTTCTTTGCTACTGGAGCTTAGCACCTTCAGAGAGATGAAAATAGACCATGTGTTTTTTACTGTTCACTATTCTAATCATAAAATAATGGTGATTTTAACACCTTACTACACTGCAATTTAACGTGGAACCGTAGGGATGACCCGATACCACTTTTTCAAGACCAAGTACTTTGTGTCAGGTACTCAGCAATGCTAAGTTTTATTTTAGTAAAGTTTTTTTTATAATAAGAGACAGATCACTATGGTTCTGTTATGTTCCTTTTTGAGAGCAACACTCTTCTTAATGGATTGCACTACCAGAGGAACAGAACCCTAAATACTCCCCACAGGAGGGAAACAAGCGGGTTCAGACCTTAGTATAAAAAGTAGGTCCATCCATCAGGTGAGAGGTGGATGGTGTACATTTGTGAAGTTTTATTATTTTACAAAGAATTGTCTCACTCGAAGCACTTAATATCATTCACCTTTTCTTTTTTTGGGGGGGGGGATTTCTGGAACTGATTATGCAGCACCCACCTGAACGTGGTCTCTGGCAAATATAGCCTACAAACTTTGATTACAGCTTTATTGATGCTATTTTAACTTTTGCCGTTCTTTGCATAATATTAAACGTGCATTTTGATTCGGACAAACTTGCAAATCAACAACATTTTGTTGATTCAGCGGGTTCGTCCACATCAACAATCCAAATTAATGAATTGTTATATATCCGAAAATCCGAAAAATATATTCGTAATAGTTCGTTTGTAGAATGTGCGGTGGCCATATTGGCCACCGGTGCATACTGCGCGTGTGTCACATGATGCGTCATCATGGAGGCGGCGCGCATGACGTCACATGATTGTGTGTGTGGCGTCAGGTAATGATATCCACATGTATGGGTGCCACCATCTTGGTGTATACCTTTAATGCAGAGAATGCGTTAAGGTAATAAAACACTCGGCCTTTAGTACTACTTTAAGGCTTTTTGCAGGCAATTTGGTATCTTGCTTGGAGCATAGCAGATTCATTCAAACAACATCTCATTCACTTGACTTGTGAAAGACGGTTGCTCTTTGGTCATATGCCTAACACAGACGTGCTCAAAACTCTTGATTTTTGCTCTGGGCAAATGCTTCATCATAGAAGATCTCTTGGTGAAGCAGCAAAAACCTCAGTCCTTCAGCTAGCACAGCTGTAACCTGTCATAGGACTTCACATAGCTATTAACCTTCTGTCTAAGAAATATTTCCACCTTCACCAGGGGATCATTAATATCTTGCTTCATTGATTGTCTTGGACATGTCTTTCTATTTGAATGCTCAAGGTTCATCATGTGGCTTATCGTACTCCCTGCAACCAGGTACCTGGTTCTCTAAAATATTTTTTCATATTATTTAGGAGTTTATAGCTTGTTTGCTTATCCGCAATGTAAACTAGGTGTTAGATACTGCTCTTTTATCTATATTAAAAATGATCCACTTTATGCTCTGAGTAATAAATGGTATTCTTTAATTTTCTGTCTGTGAGACGGTGGAATTGAAAGGAAGTCGATTTAATTATTCCCTCAGTACTATTCTGCTTCTCATTTGAGTGTGCAGCCAACATTTGGATGAACACCTAGCAGAAACCATTCTTCATTTTTCTACTCTTGGGTCTACTTCTTTGCATCACTTAATTTTCAAAGCTGCATTGGAAAATATATGGATCAGTCTTTAAACTGACTCCCTCTGCATTTGATGGTGTGTACCGCACCAGACCAGACCGTGGGCATTGGTGTACAACGTGTTCTGGTGAAGGCGATGGCACTGATGGCAAGCGGGATTTCTGCAGTGTCATTGACATGAATGGCACCACCACGCCAAATATTTGAACAATCTGATTGGATGCAGGCATTGTTCAGGTATTTTGAGAGCCAGCGGGGCCAACTAGCAATATATTGAAGCTTGCCTCAGTGGGACGGATTCTCCACCCACATAGTTTAGGGTAGATGGAGGAATCTGTTGAACCTTATCTGCAGATTTTCTTTGGTCAGATGGATAATCTATAGGTGAATGGCCAGCTTTAGATGAAGCTACACAACAGAAGTCACAGGCAGCTACCATTACTCCCAGACTTAAAAATGCTTCAAAACTCGAGGATCTGCTGTTGGCTTCAACCAGTGCTGGCCCCAGTCTAGGCTCCTTAAGGGTCTAAAACCGCCAAGACCATTACCATGCACCTGCTGTTCTCTACAGAGACTAGAAGAACCCTTACAAGCTGTTCACTCCTCTTTAATGGCTGACAGCCCTGTAACCATTTGATGAGGATTTTGTGAAAACGTAGACCTGCTGTGGATCCGGCAGTATCCTGTCTTGACCACGCCTCAACAAGCCATGTGGGTGATGGTTTGTTATAGGTTTCCAATTTAATTTCCTACATGAGTCTCCTGTCGGTAAACATGCAGTGCACAGTTGGT